AGGAGGTGATAGGACTTTGAGTACTGAGAATGAGCAGGTTTCCTTCCATCTCCCAACGATCACAGAAAATTAGACAAGACCATTTTACTGTGTTTAAAAACACATTACACTGGTCAAGTCCCTCTTGCTGGCAGAGAGTCAGATCATTAAGATGCTGATATTCCCCAAAACGTTCTCTTTCTGTCAAACTACACTCTTGGAGCTCCCCAAATTCATTTTAACTAACACACAAAAAACAATAGGGATTTTTATCTGGGGCTACAAATAAACCCCAGATGGTGCTCAAAATTGGGGCGCTGCAAGGAGGGCTCCCCTCTTTTCCTGTTCCCAAGCCCCACCTCTCACATCTGCTGCTGGTCCCACAGCCCAGCCAGCCCTGATTAAGCCCCTAGGCCCCTCCCCCAGGTTTAGCTCTGTCCCATTTAACATTCTGCTGTGTGCATTTTCCATCATAAAAGTCCTTGAAAGCATTTTCAGTGGCTGCATTATAGTCCACTCTATGGCTGTGGCTTTAATGTAACCATTCCCGCATCATAGAACATCTGAGCTTGTCTTTCAGCCAAATTAGGATGAGATGAAGCTGCCACTGGGTCAGCCCTGCAGCCTCGGTGCTCCTGGCCTTTCTGGAGAGCAGGTGCTTGGCACTTCAGACAGGAAAGTAAAGCCAGATATCCCTGAGTTCACCTCTCACCCTCCCCTCAGCAACCAGGACAGGAGAGAGGAAACCATCCTGAAACCAGTCGCTGGTCACTGCAGGCTGGGTCAGCTGAACTTCCAACCGATCTCACGCCCACCAGACCTCAACACCAGAGGAACTGGTTTCCTTACCTTCACCAAATAGTTGGAAAAGACAACTGCTCGCCAGGATTCAGACGCACAGAGAATGCGGGCCATGCCTGGGCATTGCTGAGCCCACACATTCAAGCTGGCCCTCTAGGGCAGTGGTTCTCGGTGGGGCGTGAGGCGACAATTTTGTTCTGCAGGGGACATGTGGCCTTGTTTGGAGACAGTCTGGGTTGTCACAACTGAGGGGGGAGGTGCTGTTGGTATGTTATGGGTAGTGGCTGGGAATGCTGCTAAATATCCTGCAGTGCAGTGACAGATCCTAAAACAAAGGTGACGACCTGGAATGCCAACAGTTGCAAGGCTGAGACACCCAGCTTTACAGTGAAGTCAGAGTCCCTGCAAAACCCTGGCCAGGAAACTGCAGAGCTGAGAGCTGCCGGGGGCAGGGCAAGGGGGCTCCAGAAGGCTGAGTCCCAGTTACACCAACATCCACAGGGTGAAACGAGGAGAAGGGATGGACAGCTTGGGAAGCAAAGGCTCACTCTGTTGGGTAGATGGTAGTTTTCCTTGGATGAGTAACATGTGGGACCTCGTCCTTGCCCCACCTGGAATCCCGAACTCCAGAGCCAGGCCACAGGCCAACTTCTACCACAGCTTTGCCAAGGCATCTCCGAAGGTGGTCCTGAGGAGAGCTGCTGCCCAAAGGGATCCACAGAGAACACCTCCACCCCCTCCAGAGCACCCTACCCACAGCTGTGAAGTGCCATGCTGGGCATACCACCTCTCCCTGCTACACACCAGTAGCTCCCTCTTACCCACCGAAAAACATCTGGACTTTGAGGCTGGCATCCAAGGCCAGTTGTCATTCGTCTCCACCCACCTTTCACACCACACAATGTAGCCCTCCACTCCAGCAAGCTGGGCTGTTTTCCACCAACCCCCTCCTGCTAAATAGCTGCCTAGTCTTACAATGCACCCCTCACACCCCTCACCCACCTGTTGACACTGCCCACATCCACCCGCATAAGGCACTGACCTACTCTGCCGGGTCCTGCATCAGCCCCTCCCCAGGGGTGAGCTCCACCTCATGCGTGGGGGCTGGGTCTCCCCCACCTCTGAGCTCTGCTGCTCCCCACAACCCTCTACAGTAAGTGTCAGCATAAGTATTTGGCCACATCTCCCTAAACGTGTCCTGCCAAGACCTCCTTTCAACATTAAAGCTGAAAATGATGACTGTTCCTCACAGCTGCAAACTTCTGGGCATCTAAACAATGGCCTGGAGGAAACAGCCACACTCCCGCCCCATCCGACAATACAGGGAGGCCCCGAAAATAAACTGGCAAAGGCCACTTGAAGAACCCAGAGCCCTCTCCTCTCTGCTCTGACCTGGACAATTCCCACCAACATGAGCCAGAGCTGAGTGTGTGACTTGTCCTTGAAACATGTCATGAGGGGAGACGTACAAGGTGCTAAAGTGAGAAACGGCAGAAGAGAGCCTGCAGGTACCCCTGGCACAAGCTCCAAGGCAAAATTGCAGCAATGCCAATCTGTGCCAGCAAAAACAAAGAAAGGCTGAAAACTGAAGTTGAAGAGTTTTAAACCGTCAAGGTGTACGTCTGTAATCACAGGGCAGAAATCTCTGGGCCCTCGTGGGCTGCTCCAGAGGAGGCGCCCCCAGAACACTGGGATGTCTACTTAGGAGGCTGCTTTGAAGTCGCTGTCCCTAAAAGCAGAGTCACAGGGTGCCTCGTTTCCCTCTCAAACATCCCTGGTGGGGTGTAAAATGAATATAACCTCAGCCAAGGGCGATATGGCAAAGTCTGCCAACATGACAAGGCCACAAAGCCTGTGACCCAGCATCTTCTTGGAATTCTGTCTCAGATCCAATGAAACGAAAGAACCCACTCACAAGAGAGTCATTGCAGCCTTATTTGTAAAAGCAAAAGACTGGAAACAAGCTAAGTGTGTAACAGCAGGGGATTGGTTAAGTAAATTATAGCACATCATGTAATGGAATAAAAGATTGGGAAAGTGCTCTCCTGACCAATACAGAGCCATCGCTAAGACAAGATTGTCAAGGAAAACAAGAGTCCAGCACTGGGTGGAGTGAGTAGCTCGTTACCACCTGCGGGTCTGTAGAGGAATAACATCTTTGAAAGGGACAACTGCTTGAACAGTCATAGACTCTCTGACAGTGGGTGACAGAAGTCACACCACAGGCTACCTCCAAAGAAGGACAGACACTGGGTGGGTGAGACATGGGGTGAGAGGAAGACTCTCCCGTCTGAGCGCTTTTGTGTCTTTTTATTGTGTTCCGTGTGAGCATATCACCTATTAAAAATAATTTAAAATACTGAGGACACAAGGCGGTGATGCCGTCTGTCTCCTGTCATGTCCCTTCTCTCCTATTGCCTCCCTTCTGCACTCACCCTCCTGGGTCCCCCTCCTTCAATGTCACACAAAGGGAGCAGCATAAAAGCGCAGGGGAGTGGTGGCAAGTATGGGCGGTAAAGCCAGTTGTTCCATGCCTGTGCCAACCTGCACTGGCTCTTACGGGCAGGGATTGGAGTAGCTCCCCTCGAGGAGCTCTGGGGGAATTAAAGCAGATCCCTGGTGGGAAGGTCTCGGCATGGGCCCGGCACACAGCAGGACACCGCCCAGGCTGGTGACCCGAGGAGGCTCCCTTCAGCCTGGGCTGGCCCCGCTGAGCTCCTGATTCCAGTGGGGGCTCCCCAGGGACCTGCTCTGAGCTGCAGGTGCGAAGGTGGCCCTGGAAAGCGGACTGTTTCCTTGCGTACACAAGCAGGTGTCCCTGCTGCCTCTCCTCAGGGCTCCGCTCCCACGACTGGGAGAGAGGAAGTTGAGATCCCCAGGCCAGATGTTTGCAAATCAACAAACTGTTCTTGGCTCGCTGCATGTGTCTCGCGATTCCCCGACGCCCAAGACATCCTCAGCGGAGGCTTGGGAAGTGCTGGACATGCAAGAGAGCCACTTCAAAGGCTGTGCGTGCGCAAGAGGAAGGCGCACATGAAAGGCTGTCTCCACCCTCCTCCCAGGGAAGCATCTCAGGAGGGCTGAGAACACAGCCCAGGGAGGGTGGCTGCCAGGGAGGGTGGGGGCCGCAGTGGGGGGCAGGCTCCTTCCCTTCCAACCTCATCTGCCCTCACTGAGGCCCACTTCCTGGACCTTCAAACCACCAGCAGGCCATGGAGCTCCACTGAGTTCAAATCCTGGCTTCCCTGTTCCTGGCTGTGTGACCTCTCCCTTCCTCAGTTTCCTCGCCTACAAAACGCCGATAATCATAGAAACTCTCCTATACGGTTGCTACGAAGGATTAAATGGATTAACACATTTAAGCTTGGAACAGTACCTGGCATGAAATAAATGATCAATACATGTTAGCTACTGTTGATAACTATCATCACCACCATCACCATCATCATCATCATCTCATCATCATCATCGCCAAGGCTCTCCGCGCTCCTAGTCCCATTCTGTTACACTGCCAGGTATCATGGCCCCATGAAGGCTACTGAATCCCCGCACGCAGGAGCAGTCCAAACCCCAGCTTGCTGCCACTGAGGGCCATTCTTAGGACTGCAGCGTCCAGACCAATCTGGAGACCGCTGGACTCCAGCCCCGGATGTCAATGTTCTTTGGACAGCCTGCTGGTGTACAAGCCTTGCTTCCCAATCCCCCGGTCCTGCCTTTTGCAAGTCCTATCTGGCCCTGGCCAACTTTCCCACCCCAGAGCTAACACTCGATGCAGGGACAATGGCCTTTGGTGCCTAGTCCAGCCCCTGCAGAGTCACACTCCACTCCTCAGCCCAGGCTGAGCCAAAGGTGCCCCTGAAGTCAGGTTCATGGCCAACACTGTCAGCACACATAACAGAACATCCGTCAGCTCTCCCCAAATCCTGAGCCAGCATTTTCTTGCTTCCAAACCAAGTCAATATAACATCTCACACTTGTGCCAAGAGCTCATGTCGGGAAAGGCATGATCCTTTCAGCTTTTATAACCTTTGCTGACAATTCCCCACCCAACCTGGAATCGCTGGACTTAGCAACAGGCTCTCTGAGGGCACCCTCAGGGACGTCTGCTGCATGGCCTGCTGCTCCGAGAGCAGGCGGACGTCTGCAGCCCAGCGCCGCCCCCGCCCCCTCTCCGAGATCATCACACACGCTGGATGTGATGGAATTATAATTGGTCTTACCTTCTTGGAACAAAACCCCGAACACGTCTCCACTGTCACATTGGCCTGTATCAGGGAGTCGGGGAAGGCATGTGTGACGTTCTCCGGCAGTCTGAAGCACCCGCGGTAAGTGACCGTCCTCCCTGGGGGAAAAAATAGGATTCCAGTGAGAAATGGTGCTCATGGTTGCCGGTGCCTGTCACTAGGGAAACTGGTGGCTGAGATCCTGAAACAGGTGTAACCATCCTCAGGAGGGCCGATTTCACATCAGAGAAGGAGAACCTGCCCGTGTGGGGTGTGGTCAAGCCAAGCTCCTGAGAGACACCAGGCACAGAACCTTGGTCACCCAGGGTCACTGACAAGGGATCACTTTTCTGAAACTGTTGACTTCAGGTCTCACTATTCCAGCCAGCTCTCGGGGGACGGTGCCCATTCACTTTTCCTCCCTCCCTCCCTTCCTTCCACAAATCTGATTGTGCATCCGTTATGTGCCAGATTCTGCACTAGGGGACCTGGGAGGACGATGTTCTGGAAAAGTCCATGACTCCCCTGTGAATGTGTGGAGAGAACAGGTCTGGAAATCTGAAATCCTGCGCCTTCCCTCTCACTGCGCCACTGAGTCACACCACCGCTGTGCTCCCTCCCCGATCCTGAACTCCCACCAAATTCCAGGAATACTCCTTAAGTCTGTGTTCCAAGGGACGCCTCTGGCCACAATGTTCTCCAGACCTTCTGGTGGAAAATTGCAGCTCCCTAGTTGGTTTCCTAGGTGCTGAACAAACCTGAAATGTTCCAGCACCAAATGCTCATATTTCTTCCAGGCTCATCAGAGTGTCTCTAGGTGGCACCCCAATTCTCATCCCAGATCTCCTGGGGCTCAGCACCTCTCCCTGCTCCCTGTCTGCCACAGCACTTTCTAGATGGCATCCCGGTTCTCATCCCAGATCTCCTGGGGCACAGCCTCTCTCCCTGCTCCCTGTCTGCCCTGGCTCTGGACCAGCAGCGGGAACTCTCTCACCAGCCAGTACCACGGCGGAGGGCTCTCCGTGCAGAGCTGCAAAGCAGGATCACACCCCGGGTCTGGAAGCCCATCTGATCAACCGTATCGCCAGTGGTCTGGACACCAGAACACCAACCTACTTGGGCACAACTGAAGGAAAACAGTCCAGGCTGAGCATCCTGATGACCTGATGTGGCTGCCCTGGCCTTGGTGTAAGAGCCTTGGCTTATGGCTTGTGCTGAGCTCACAGAATTTCTTCCTGTCCTGTGGCATGATTGAGCCCCAAAAGAAGAAAATAGCTAGATGTTCTGGGCTGTGGTCCTCAGCCAACTGCTCTGGGGTGGGACAGACACCAGGGAGACAGGCTCCAGGGCATGTGACAGGGAGGGTGAGCAGCACAGGCGGGGCACAGGGAGAGTAGGGTTATGGGCATCCCAGCCAGTCCCAGGCCACAGGGAGGTACAAAACAGGGCCCCTGGGGAGGCTGCATCTGGGTTGTCCTTGTACTCCCCAAACCCTGGCTCTGACACATAGCATGTGCCCAATATGGGTCAAGTGGATGAATGAACTGAACACAACAGGGCATGTGGGGGCACGGCATACACTGCAATTTCAGAGCTGCTGGGGACGGCTGCATTGGCTGCCTCTGGGGGTCACCGAGTGACTATCAGGGAAAAGGCTGTCATCTAGTTCAGTCTATCCATACCCTCCTTCCTCACTTCCCAGGTGACAGCCCAGGGCCACTGAGGGCAGAAGGACACCTCCAAAATGAAGCCATTGATGAACTGCTCTGTTCCTACCTCTGATCCCACCCCAGGAGTACATTCGTGGCTCTTACTCCTTGTGAGTGCTCCCCGTTAGTGAGAAGCTGAAATTTAACCTAGATGGTCACCTGGTCACTTCTTGACAGAGATCCTGTTAGCTCATCCCCTTGAGAAGGGAGCAGGCAGGCAAAGGTCAACCGCATGTGCTCCACAGCCTGCCCAGAGGGGCAGTTATTACACTGTTTCCAACATTAACCATGACATCAAGTCTATCCAACTCAAGATCTGAGGCTGGCCTGAATAACTGGGCCATCTCACCCTTGGCCAATGGGCAGCCTGAAGCAAAACTATGATCTCTAAGAGCTAGTGGCTGAGCAGGCAGGAGGAGTTGGCAGGGCAGCCCAGAGCCCACATATAGACCTGCTGGTGGGCAGAGGAGAAGAGTCAGGAGGGCTAATGTTGTTGGAACCCAGGGAAATCAAAGACCCAAAAAGCCAGTCTGGAACATTTTGGTCCTCAGGAAGCCCATTCGGATGCCCAGATGACAGAGCAGAACTTGATAGATCCATGCACCACGACAACCTCTGTGCCAGGACAGGGCCTGGCACAGAGTAGGTGTCAATCACTATCTGTTGAGTTAATAGTCTCATAAAGAATGTGTTGCCAGGGCTACAACCCTGTCCCTGTTCCCCCATCTGGAGCCCTTGTGCCCAGATATATTCTATCTGACCGTAAGCACTCAAGCAGTTTCAGTTGGCTGAGCACTAAGCCACTCTCCCCATCACTCTGACCCCATACACAGTCACCGTGGTTTTCATAGCCAGGCTTCTGCACTGCGTGGCAATCATTCATTGCTAGGAGAGCTCTCCCAGACTCCCCTCTATAGTCCTAGCTTCTGACCTAAGCCCTCTTTCCCTCAGCTCTGCCCATTCTTGAGCTAATTCATCAACTGTCCTGGAGCCATTACTAGGTGCACAGCCAGAGGTGCTTGTGTTCAGGAGTCAGTGTGTGTGGATGCTGGGCTGTGCCTCTATCATCCAGTCTCACCCTGGTCAGTGGAGGGGGTGTCTCCTGTGCTCTGACTTCTTTCTAGCCCAGCCCCTCCCAATTATGAGAAGGACAGTCCCTGGACATGCAAATTTGCTCAACCATCTTTATTTTACAAAGGAGACTTTTATAATTAGATTAAGTGGATCTGGGGCTCATGATCTTGCAATCAGGACAAATATGAGCTTCAGACACATCTAGCTGGGCCCCCTCAGTTGTCATCTCTATTTGAAAGCACTTTCCTTTGAAATTCTTGGGGGTTCAGTCTTGCTGCTGCTTTTCCCTCATGACTGATTATTTCCTCCTGAGTTCTGTGCTTAAATTTTAAGCTTAAGTGAGAGCTTATCTATGGGAACTCTTTACACCTGGGTTGGTGGCACAGCTCTTGAGAGGTGTTGCCTTTGCCTCTGCCAGCACCTCCAGATGGTCCAGAGCCAATTTTTATGTTGGAGCTTTCAGGACCACGCAGATCATATAAATCTGAGCCTCAAACTAGTACAAATGCACGTCCGCAATTACAAATTCTTAGGAAGATTCCATTTTCACCTGAAGCTCAGGCCAAAACAACAAGTTTTCTTTCTATTTCCCCAAACTAGTAGGTGATTTTTTTAAAACTTAAATTTTATTGATTTATACTTCAGTGAAATTGAATCACACTTTATGCAGAGGTTTCCATCTAATTCCCTATCCTGACCAGATCAAAGCCTCCTTCTCTGTCCTATGTGGACACTAAAGCCTCCGCCTGTGGCCACCAAGACCAGTAACTTCCCTCTGCAGAGCCCAGATCTTTGCAGCCTGGTCTCTGACTCTCATGGCCACGGTGATTCTGAGTCCCCTCTGCATTTCTGGAGCAAAGGATTTCCTCGCTATCTTGCTAGTTTGATTCTGCATGTAAAATAGTGTTTGTTCCATTCTATCCACCATTTCTAGGCGATTTATAGCTAGGAAACTTTCAGATTATCGGGTCCACCCCACTGCTAGAAATCTAGGTCGACCTCTGCACTTTACAAAATGGACTGGAACTCAGAGAGGGAAAGCGAGCTGCCCGAGGCCGCACAGCATGTTTGAGACATGCCTGGGCCTAGGCCCCAAGCCTCCTGATCAGTTTCTCTCTCCTTCAGGGAACAAAGAAAGATGTGCCTCAGTTATGAACTCAAGCAACCTTTGGCACACTTTAAGCCCACTCCCCAAAAGCGACGAGCCTCTCCAGGGAAGGTGACAGGAAAGGGAGGGCAGGATTTCTGTTCCAAGCAATTTGGACTAGGGGCTACAGGCTGGGGGGCAGTTGGAGAGCAGAAGACAGAGCTTAGAAGGCCTGGCACACTCACGCTTCCTGGAGCTCGGCTGCAGCTCCTCCACTCGGTACACAGAGAGCCGGCCGACGCCCCCGCACAGGGAGCCCTTCTCCCCCTTGCACTCCTGTTTACACTCCTCCGGCCCGACGCTCATCGCTGGGAGCCGGTTCCCGCAGTAGCACTCTGTCCCGGCCTCCAAGCCGGCGTAGACATAGGACCTGCAGGGAGAGTGGGGTCTGGGGTAAGCTGACCTTGGCCCAGAGCTAGACCTGCGGTCCTAGCAGCACTGAGGCCTGGATCAAGAAATGACAGCTGGGTCTGGGCCCAGGGGGAGCGCTGGACTTGAAGCTGAGGTTAGGTCCGGGTGAGCAGGCAGGGGCATGGCCATCAGCGGGTGGCTGGCCTCAGGGTTCAGTCTCAGCCAGACTGAGGGGTCATCTGCCTAGGTTTAGGGAACAGTCTTTCCTTTGTGATAAGCTAATTGAGCCAGCTCTACTGGTTCCTCTCATCAGCCCTGAGTTTGTCCCCCAAGGTTCTAGCCATGGTAACAGGTTACGATGGGTCTGTAGCGGAGGTGTGCTGCTAACTGGTTCTCAGGATGGGAGGGAAGGAGTCCAACTGGGTGGCACTTGCCAATTTCTGTAGATGATTTCAAGCTAGTGATGGTTTAGTAATGGGCTTATAACATTTCTAAAAATTTAACTGTTTGCTCTCGTGAGCCATGAGCTGGCTCCAGCTCACCACTGGTCCAAATCGCCCTCCACATTTTGCACATGGGCCCCGTTGCAGGCCTCTCTGCCCCAAAGACCGCTCTTACCCGCCTCTACCCATCCATAAGGCAGTAGGGAAAGAAAGATAGCAAATGGAACCGATATCATACCACACAGGATGTTAACTATGAAAAGAGGCCAACATTTTCAAGCTCCCTCCTCAGTGGATCTAGGTATAGAAACCCAAACTGAAAACCCAAGCACCAGCTCCTTACCCTTGTTTGGCCCCTTGCTGGCTGTGTGACCCTGAATGTCCCTTACTACGTCTGAGCCTCTGTTTCCTTAACTGTTAGGAGAATAAAACGGGATTGTGTGAGCCTCAGTTCTAGTTTCATCTAGACTGCAGAGCACACTCAACAGGGGACCTGTCCTTTCCTTCTCTGGCCTTAGTTTCTCCACCTATAAAATGGGCACGATTAGTTGTTATCTCTCAGAAGGTGGTGAGGACTTATTACACAACAAATACAAAAGAATCTAATGGGACTGAAATAAATGACGGGTACTATCTGCCAATTCTGTTTTAACAGTTTGCTGTGTGTGAGCACGCACAAGCGCGCACACTCACACACTCTCACACAGACACACACACACACACAGAGTGATGGTAGGGGCCACTCCCTGGCATTTGACTAGTGCCCGGTAACTACTGGGTGAGCTGGCAGTAGCAGAAAGAGCAAATCTTGTTTGAAATACAATCACTTTTCCTACAGAGCTAGAAAGGACCTCAGAGAAATCTGGGTTAAAGTTCTTTATTCTATTTTATTATTTTTTTAAACATATCTTTATGATTCCAGAGAGAGGAAGGGAGAGGGAGAGAGAGAGACAGAAACATCCATGATGAGAGAGTCCTTGATCGGCTGCCTCCTGCATGCCCCCGACTGGGGATCGAGCTCACAACCCAGGCATGTGCCCTGACCGGGAATCGAACCCTGATCCCCTGCATCCTAGGTCGGTGCTCAACCGCTGAGCTGTGCCCAGCCGGGCACTTTATTCTATTTTAAACGTACGAGTAAACCGAGGCCCAGGAAAGAAGGACTCAGAGCCAAGTCACACAGTGAGTCCCTGGCTCGGCTGAACCAGAACCTGGTCTCCCGACACCGAGCCCAGGGCCCCTTCCATAGCCCCTGCCACCTCATCAATAAGCTTTGTTTCTTCTGGACAACTGGGACCCGATCAATCACGCTCTAATTAGTTACACGCTGACAGCCAAGTGGCAGCCAAAGTCTCCCCGCCTTCCGGGGAATGTCTCCTGACCTTACTCCGGTGGCCGCGGGGGTCGGGGCCCCACACCTACCGCTCGGCGCAGGCGTCCTGGCAGTGGGAGACGGTCATCTTTCTCAAGTCGAAAAACACGGTGCCCTTCAGGGTCCGCTCCTGGCCATTGTCACTGAAGCATCCAACGTAGGTGCCTGCAGGCGGAGAAGCACAGCGGAGACTCAGGCCCTGGGGGGGGAGGGGTCCGACCCATGGCCCACTCTGAGCAAATGCCAAGGCAGTCCCAGCCCTCCCTGTCCAAGGGTACCCCTCAGAGAAGGCAGGGCGTGAGGCTGTGGTCCGACGACCCCTGCAGTGCTTCTGGATACTTCAACCCTGTTCCCTTCTGCCCCTTTTCTTAGTTAATGGCCCACTGTCCCCCTAGACACCCTGCCAGGAACCTGGTGTCAGCCTGAATACCACCTTCTTCCACCGCAGCTCAGCAAGTCAAGTACCTCCCCTGGACCCTCCTCCCCATCCCTACCCTTCCTAGGCTTGGAGAGGCCTTCCTATCTCCACAATGTACCAATGGCCAGGTTCTGTCACCTTGTAATCCAGAGGAAGGAGATTAATTGTGGAAACTGATTTTAGATTATAGAAACAAGATCTTGCAAACAGATAGAGCTATTTCAAGAAAAAAAAATCTGCCGTCCCAGGAGAGAGCAAGCCCCATCGCTGGAGGTGTGTGAGCAGTCTGTTAACACGTAAGAGAGCTGTCCTGGGGGACACTCAACAGGACCAAGGGACTGCTGGGCCGTCGCCAGTCCAGGCATCTCTGGCACACCCCTGGGGGGAAGGCCTGACTCCACAAAGCAGTAGCAGCGCTGAGCCAGCCCTGCCCTGTCACCCTGAGAGGGAAGTATCTCGCCCCTTCCAGGCAGTGAAAGTCTTGGGATTCCATCAGCCAGCAGGTGGCCACACCCAGCGTTTGTCTAGAGGCACATGCTACACCCCTCCACTCAGGACTCCCAGACTCCCAGGCCCTGGACGCTTCTCTCTCTCTTTATGTAAAGTCTCAGGACCACTGAGACCAGAATGGACCAGTGCAGGAAGACTTCACCCAGGTCAGCGAGAATAAACTGCTCTCCTTAGCCTGCCTGCTTAGTACAAGAAAACGAATATTTCAGAAATTTCTCATGGGTTGCTCAGTGAAGAAGAAATTCTATTACAGCTTTCAATTAAACATCCAAAACACAAGCTCTGGGGTGTTAAACATTTATCACTTTTGGTGAGAAATTAACCCAAAGGCTGTAAAGGTGCCCAGGCTCAAGGCCCTGGAGGCTGAGAATGGCAGGAACATGTTTCTGGGGGACTAGGGAACAGTTTTGGGGAGTGGGCTGACTTAGGCTCAAATCCAGGCTCGACCCTTATCCGGCTGTGTGACCCTGCATGTGCAGTTTCCCCTCACTAAGCCTCAGCATTCCCATCTGTGAAATGGGGCTATGCTCCCATGGAATTCACAGGGTGCTGGTGAGAATTCCACAGCACACAGGAAGTGTCTAATGCAAGGTGTGGCATGTAGTACAAGCTCAGTCATGATTGTTTTTACTGTTAGTATATCATTATTAATAACAAACATTTAAAAATAACTTCACTTCCCTGAAACTCAAATTCTTCATAATCAAGATGGTGATAGCACCACGCACATACCAGGCTGTTAGAAATTAAGTGAGATAACAGGTGACAACTACACAGATCAAGGCTTTGCCATTAACAGACACTTGAATGAATAACAGCTATTACTCTGATCCTACTCTCTGACCTGGGACCTGGGTGATGATGCATCAGCAAATATCAGCTGAATAATTAGCACATTCATAAAAGAGAGAAAGAAATGGTTTCCAGCAGTCAGCCTCAGCTTCTTTGGAAAACAAGGAGTGGCTAACCAGTCAGCAGCTGCCCATGGAGCTGCCCAGCCTGGGGGGCAGCCCTGGCCTGGCTGGCCCAGCTCAGCTTGTAGCAGGGCCTGAGATGCAGATGGCCCACCTCGCTGCCTGGGAGGAGGAGGTGAGCCCTTTCTTCTGGAAAAATAACCAATGGCTTTTCTAACTTCCTGACAGAGGCAGGAATGTGCAGAAAGAAAAGGACTTCCGAGGGATACGCTGGGACACATTCTGAGGCGGATTTATTACTTTCGGCTGAAATGGAGGCAATGCATTATTGTCTGCGACTCCACATCTGTTCATTTGCACATCAAAATGGACATGCCGTGAGGCTATTAATGATGGCTTTGGAGATATTGGAATGTCTTTGGAAATTACTATCAATAAAAAACAAACTGGCTATGGAGAAGTTACTATTTTTCCCCTAGTAAACTTACTGACATTTTATTCCATTATGGATGTTGTCCAAGGTATAATGAAATGCTCAGTGATTGATGGAGCCTCCTGCAGCTTCCTCGGCTTGCAGGATCCCTTTTCAGGAGGATGGCAGGCTGCCCGCGCCTCAAAGAGACTCCCTCTTTGTCTGCAGCCCCGGCAGCTGTCCCGAGGGCTGGGCTGTGGGCTACTCTCCACCAATGAGGCCTGCCTAGCTGTGCAGGGCCCCAGAGCCCCCAGAGGGAAAGGGGGCTCCCAGGGGGTCTTCAGGCCAGTGCCCTGCTTCTCCCCTCTTTCTCTGAAGATTTCCAGCCATGTGATACCACCGCCTCACCCAGAGTACAAATCCTTCCTGAAATCTTGGGGGATATTAAAAATCTTCAATAACCTATGGGGGTTACTGGCCATTCAGAATCTCCACCATTCAACACTAGAGCTGGATCCTGAGGTTCCTGCTGTACCAGGCATTATCCCTTCTCTTGCTGGGTTGTGGGGAGGTTTGGAGGTTACTGGGGAGCGCAGCCAGGGTGTATAGGGCACCCCAGGGGCTCAGGGTAGTCACCATTCCAATATATTAACAACTGATAAGGCCATACTTGAGTGTAACGGTTGACCTAACAACAGTCCTTCAGCTTTCCCTGGAGCCCCTTCCATCACTTTTTTAGGTCACTGAAGATGACTTAAAAGGGTATCTACCCAGGGCTATCACTAGGTCACCCTGAGCCCTCCCCTCTGCTGGCCAGTCACCCTGAGGTCAGGTTATAAAGAACTAGCCACTTCTGTCTAATAAGCCCGAAGCCCTTTGCACATACCTCTATCATGCCCCAGTCGTGCTGTACGGTAATTATTTGGGTGCATACCTCATTCTGTCACCAGATCGAGACCCTGAAGTACATGGTAAATAGCATACATGGAGACCCAGGCATGAATCCTCAATAAGTGTAGTTTGAGAGCAGTAAAAAGAGGAGTTGTGGCTAATTTGCCCAAGGTCACAGAGCCCCAAACTGGCCATACCAAAAGAGGAACTAAGCTGTTTTCAAAACCTGTGCTCTTTTTATGGTTTCCTCTCAAGAAATCAATGTCGACCATGTTGGTCCTTTACACTTTAGTTTAAATGAGTTGCAATAGTGCAACCTGCATAGGGGCCCAGTTTCTGGGTGTGTTGAGGAGAGTTTACAGAAACCATATCTGCATAAAATGAGCTGCAGAATCAGTTCCTAATTTCTCCCTTATTTCTCCCATGAAAGCCTTGCTGAGGAACCCCACAGTGAGCACTTTGGCTTAGATTATTTTAGAAGAAATTTCCTTCCACACAGACAACAATGCTCAGTCCTCCAGTCTACATTTTACTGAGTTGCTAGGGTCATCCTAAGATGAGGGAAGTTTGGACTCCTTTCTCTTCTCTGGAACCTTCTCATTGTCCTCGGAATAAAGCCAAATTCCTAGGTCTGGCCCTCATGGCCCTCCCTGACCCAGGCGCCAGACCTGAGCCCATAGCCCAAGCTCTAAGATGAGCTTCTCGCCTCATCTTTTTGTATATCCAGCTCTATTCTCCAACCACACTTTTTATATTTAAGAGAGCAATTTCTCCTGTGACTTAGCATACAGGACCAAGTGGGGTGGTGACAGGTATGCTGAGATGCTGACTGAGCTGTCACCATCCAACACCAGCCATAACACTTTCTGGGTGCTCATCACATGCAGGCTCCATTACTGGGCCCTACAAAGAGTCTGCATAACTCAGAGCAAAGAGCCCCACCTGAAGCCAGGCTGTCCCCATGTTGGAATCTCAGCAGTGTGACTGTGCCTGGCCCAGTCAGTGCCCACCCCGTGTCCCCCAGGCCTCGCTGCTTCCACGCTGTACCCTGAGACGCATGCTCTATCTTTGTTCTGAGTCCCCACCTGCTCCATAACACACCCTGTATTGGCTGTCTTCTCTTCCCTGTCTCACATCTCACTCCTTAACAGTGTTCTGGGATCACACCCTTAATCTACCATGTGCATTGGAATCCTGGTTTCAGGGTTTGCTTCTTGGAAACCAAACTAAGAGAATGACCTTGGGAATTTACTTAACTTCCTTGTGCCTCAGTTTCTTCACCTGTAATACTGGAACATAATAATAGTAGTACCAGTAAATAGCACATTTACAGGAACATAGTAAATGTCATATGAGTTAGCTATTTTTATTAAATAATAATAGCTGCCAGTTACTGAATGCCAAATAACATACTAGGTCCTCTAGCCCAGGAGCCTTCAGCTTAGGTTACATCAGAATCACTGGCAGTGTGGCTGCATGGACTGCGGGCCCTGCCCCAGAGCTCAGTGTTCAGCAAGTGCAGAGAACCTGGGGATCTGCACTTGGAACAAGCTCCCTGGTGACGCTGAAGCTGCTGGTCTGGGACCACACTTTGAGAACCACTGTGCTACATTATCACATTTAATCCTCACAGTAACCCTGGGGTAGGGATCTCTATCTCCATTTCAGAGGGACCTGGAGAAGGTAAACGACATGTTCAGGGTTACCCAACAAGTCTGTGGCTAAGCCAAGATTCAAGATGAGGACTGTCTGAACCCACAGCCTGAGCTCAAAGTGACCTAATCACATATCCTGTCCTTGAGCCATGTGGAAGTCCAGCTGGTGAGTGAGCAAAACTCCAAAGGGCTTCCATCACAGGCCCTTCCCATATCATGTAGAGAGGGAGGGAAGGAACAGCCTGTGAAGGCCACGGGCCTACAGTGCCTACTCCTCAGGCTGCCTCAAGCACCAGATAAAGGGCTCCTAAGAGCAGCTCCCAAATACGCCAGAGGAACCAGGGCTGAGCACCTACCTCGGCTGCTAGCAGCTGGCCTGGGGGCCTCGGGGCTCAGGGCAGGGAGCCCCTGGGGGTCACCCATGAAGTGGTGGAACCAGTGGCGCCGCAGCTGGCGCAGCTCCGAGTTGCGGCTCCGGAGCCAGCGGGGTCCCGGCCGGGGCCGGGCCAGGGGACTCTGCAACATGTCCACGCCAAGCAGCAGCTCCGGGCTGACCCGGGGGTCCTGCAGGGCTCTGCTGTCCAGCAGGCCCACGCCCAGTGCCATGGCGGCCACGGGTAAGGCCTGCAGGGAGCCAGGCGCCCGGGGACCCTGCGGCAGGGCCACTCGGGCCCGCTGCAGCAGCAGCAGGCTGCCGGTCATCAAGTAGGCAGCCGTGAGGAAGAACAGCAGGAACTGTGTTCGGCGGAGAAACTTCTGGAGTCGGAAGAAAGGTTTGGCCATGCCCCTGGGCGGCAGGGCTCCTGGCTGGAGCCTGGGCACGGCTCCTAGAACCCGGGCGGGAGGGAGGCCTGGGCCTCCAGAGGCGTCATCTCCTCATTCTGGAGCCAGCCTGTGCTCTCCTGGGGTCACTGTTCTTCCTGCCCCGTCTCCAGCAGGTGGGCGAATGGCACCATCACTTGTCCCCAGTCACTGGGCCCTGCAGCTGCAGCTTCTGCCTAAGCGTCACAGCTGTTGCCATCCCTGAGCTCTATGACCCTCAGCTCTTGGCTCAGAAATCTGTAAAAGTAGAGAAAAGCACTTAGATGCAATAGGAGTGTCCACCTTTGCTCCATGGCCAGGAGCCCCTCACTGCTGGCTCCTTTTACCAAAGGGGCTGGCTGTGTTGCAGGAGCACTGGATAGAGAGCTGGGCTCAAGTCTGGCCAGCTGTGTGACATCGGGCAAGTTACATAACTTCCCGAGTCTCAGCTTCCTCACCTACAAAATGGGAATAACAGTGTCCCCTGAGCAGCAGTGAGGATCCAGTCCGACGGCGACATGGAAGAGGGAGCGCAGCAGCAGCTCTGTGCTGAGCCCTTACTAAGTGTCAGGCACTCAGCTACATGCTTTATGTATTATCTCATTTAATCCTCCCGCCAATCCAGCGAGGTGGATGCCGTAATATCCTCACATTACAGAGGAAGAAATGATGGTAAAAGGAGGCAAAAACTTTCCCAAAGTCACACAGCTGGTAAACAGAGGAGCCAAGGTTTGGAGCGGGCTGTACTCGGAGCCTGTGCTCTGAGCTACACAGTGAGCTGGCACATATAGGGGCACCCAGCCCAGGGCCTGAGTACACGGCAGGCGTGGAGGCTGCGGCACCTGATGCAGAGAAGGTGGAAGGGCTCCTGGGCAGCCTTCCAGGGACCCTCCGCTCCCCAGCACTCAGCTCTCCTGCCGAGCTGGATTCCCACTGGCGGGCCCTCTGAAGCGAGGGGCTGAGGGGCTGGCAGAGGGTTCTGCAGCTGCCTGGAGCTGGGCTGCCACATGAGGAAGGCCCTCCGCACAAGGACAGGCTTGTCCCAAGAAGAAAGGCTCTGAGGAGCGTGACTAAGCCGCTGCCCGTAACTAACATGGCCCGGGCCCCCCGCCAAGCCTGTGCGGCCCCTCAATGGCCGCTCTGTGCGAGGAAAGACAATGTTTGGGCTCTGTGGCCTGGCTTTCCAGGGGTGAAGACCCAGAGGAGCCCCGACCTGCGTGATCCTTTCTGATGAAACGCTGATAGCTGCCAGGTTCTGAAGCCTCTGGGGGAGGGCAGGGATCTGGGGACACAGGGAGGCTGGGCCTTTAGGCTGGAGCGGGGGTGGCAGGCTGGGTAATCAGCAAATGAAGGTGGAATTAAACTGTTGAGTTGGGAAGCCATTTCAGACTTTTCTTTTTCTCTCTAAGCTGGTGTGTGCCAGGCCCACCCCAGCCCGCCTGGTCAGATTTGTAAAACCACAGAGAAAATCCCAAGAAATCCTGACTGATCTCCCTGTCTCCAGCTTTGGCCCCTCCGATCCACCCTCCACAGGGCTGCCGGTTGATCTTCCTAACACACAAATCTGATCACAGCACTCCTCTGCTTAAAACCCCTTTCAATAGCTCTCTGTGGCTTTCGGGATAAACTCCAAGCTCCTTAGCACAACACACGAGGCCCCTTCATGATCTGGCCCACCCAGCTCATCTCTTGCCAGGCCCTTTCCTTTGGATTTTTCATCACGCCTTCACGCACGCGTGCACACACCTACACCCCCCCCCCCACGGTCATCTGTCTTGGTGCCTTTGTGCACACTGCCTTTTGTCTTTCCTCCCTCTTTGCCTACTGACCCCCTGTGCTTCCTCCAGGCTCAGCCCAGGTGTTACTTCCCATGAGCAGCTTTCCCTGACCACCACCCACCCACTGGAATAGAGTCCACAGCCCACCTCGGACCCCTATCCCAGCACTCACATCCTTGGATGATTTCAATTGTCCACCTACTTGTCACTCATCCTGGCAGGGCCGTGACTGACTCAAGGCTGAAGGTCATACCCTATTCATTTGGCTGACTCTGGCCCCCAGCATGAAGCCTGGCAGTGCAGATGCCCAGAAATCTTTGGTTCTGAAGACATTTTTTTAAATGAATGATAAGATAAATTGACAGGCAGATCCTGATGTCAGAAACCTGCTCCTGTGGGCTCTCAGGGCAATGAAACCTCAAGTTCCACTTGTCCAGAGCCGTGGGAGCTTAGCCTGAAGAGCGGAGAGCATGGAGCATGAGCACACTTAGCGAGGGCAGCTTAGCACTGTGAGGTCTTTCAGACCATGCAAGCTGGCGAGGTGCCTGAGGTTTATGTTATCCGTTCTCTGCTGTAATTCCATGGAGAGGCATCTCCAGGTCTGCTCACAAAAGGCTTCTGGTTACAAAACTACGATTCTACCAAAAAAGTCCTACAAAATTAAAATAAAATGGGAGAAGGAGGGACTCCTGCTATGGAAAGAAAGGTCTCGATAAGATAGAGCAGAAATGTGGGCAATGGGTTAACAGTTCAGAACTTTAAAGATGTGGTGTGGATCCCACACACATTTTATCCATAAGATGTGGATGGAAGAAATAAGCCGGGGTGGGGTACAGGGGGTGGGGCACTGTCCGGGATACCCTCGGGATTCTACTGACCACACCCACGTTCCCCAAGGCCTTCTGAAGTCCTCTCTGGAGCTCCACCTTCCCCGAGGGGCTGCCCCTGGTCTGGGGATGTCGACACTGGGTGTGAAGACAGGGGTCAGCCACTTTCAGGCCAGAGCTCAATGACACAGGCTGCCACTTCAAACTTCTAAAATCAAAGCCAGTTCCCAGCCGGAACACATGCCGTGGGCTGCATGGCAGGCCCGCAGGCCCAAGGCAGTAGGCACTTGTCTCCCTGCCCTGGACTTCTGCCACACCTCTCCACCAACGTATTTGCCAATCACCTCCACGCCACTCTCTGCCATGTCCACCTCTTCTCCTGGCTGGCAGCATCTCTAGGCCACAGATCACACACGATTTATCACCAAGCCCCCAGATCCCAACCAGCAGGGTTGGCAACTGTTGAGTGAATAGACCTGAGAGACACCTGGGGTGGGCTGTAGGGTGGTCAGTCATATGGTGGACCTCACCAACACCTAGGGGATATCTAGCCACTGCCTGAATGCACTGGGCCCAGGAGCCCATCAGCTGTGCCCACTGTGTCCCAAAGCTGGGGGGCTCTCCATGAAAGCAAATCTACCTCAGAAAAATCGCTGCACAGAGCAGAGCCTCAGGCTCCTCATCTGTTAAATGGGGGCAAATAGGCATTGTTGTGGGGTTGAATCAGGAGTAAAACTCCTATTATCTACCAACCATAGCAAACATTGGTCATGAATGCAGAGACAAGCAAGGAAATGCAGGAGGAGAGGCCTGCAGCGGCTGTGCCATGGGAGAAATCAGTTACCTTCTCCTCTTTTTAGCCCCCACGCCCTGGGGTGGGCCTAGTATCCCATTCCTAGTTGAAGCTGGTCCCATACTAAGGTGGCCGGTAGCAATTGCCTCAGTTTTCCATGCTGCTACTGATTAAGCGCCTGCGGTTTAAGCAACAGGCTAGACTGTGTTGAATACTTTCCTGAACCATCTCATTTGCTCCATACATCCCACCGAGGCGGATGCCCTGGTTATACCATTGAGAGCCGAGGTCTCTAAAGCTCAGCTGGGTGAAGTGCATTGCCCAAGGTCAGACAAACCAGGGCCAACACTGAGACCCAGGCCACCAGCTTCAGAGACTGCCCTGTGCCCACTAAGCTTCCAGCTCTCTCCCCTCACCAGCTCCAGCTTCACACAAAAGATTTATCCTGGAAAGGAGTTTAGTGCACCTCCATCAGCACCTTTCTGAAAACATACCAGGCCAAAGCTCCTGGAGAAGGTACTGCACAAGGAGAAGGTCCTCCCTCCAAGCCATACCTCACCGACACTGCCATGTGGGTAGGTGTGCAGGCCTCCTGGGCACCCCCTTCTGGAACTCCGGATCATTCCCCCTAAGCCTTGCTTCCCCTGTGGCACGTCCCTTCCTGGAACCAAGCAAAGTGCTTCAGATGGACCATGGGAGCTCCACCCTGCCTGAGGCTCAGGCCTGGTTGGGAGGGGCGCCAGGGCTGAGTACAGAGCCTCAGGCTGGACAAAGCTGGACACCCTCTGCCATGCCCAGCAGCCTGGGGACAGAGACCTTGAGTTCCCTCTCAGGAACAAGAGGGGAAAATAGGACAGAGGATTTCTGAGGGCTCAGGAAGGGAGCAGGAGCCCAGCTCACGGGGGCACTCAGACAACCTGAGCCCTCTTTTGTTCCTTTGTTGTTATCTGGGTCTCAGGTCGATGCTAAACATGAAGGATAGGGGGTACTGGGCAGATGGCACCTGTCTCTCACCTAGGTTTGGGGGTCTGAGAAACTGAGCAGGTGAGGGGCAGCAACAGGGAGAGGAGAGGGGTGGGGAGAGGGAAGGGGAGGAAGCGGTGAGGGGGAAGGGGGAGGAGGCAGTCCCAGGGGGACAGGGGACTAGAGAGGAGCTCAGAGCTGGCCAAGGCCTGACCAGTGACCACTGGGGTTCAGTCACATGACTCTGCCTCCCCATCACCCCCTGGCCAGAGAAGACAAGCAGTGGCAGGTGAGGAGAGAATTAACTTCAGACACCCTCCGAAGGGTCTCAGCCACTGCGACCCCTGCAGTGAAGGCTGTGAGCCTCTAGGGATTCAGAGCCATGAGCTCTTAGTGAGGTGAGAGCCATAAAGACAAAGGAACAGGGCCCAGCACGTTGTTCTCCTGACAGGGAGATGAGTGCTCCGAGCCCCAGCCTCTGTGACTGGCAGTCGGGGGTCTCAGTCTTAGGACCTCAGCAAAGCCACACCAGGGAGCCTCGAGCTGGGCTCGGCACTCTGAACTACCCCTCTGTCTTCTCCTACCCCACCAAAGCCAGCCTCTGCCCTGCTCGGGCTCAGTGCCTGTCGTCTGGACCCTACCCACCTCCAATAGGCTGGCCACTACCAGTGGCCTAAGAAAGTGATCTTCCTAACACAAGAACTACTGCTACAGCCTGCAATGGCTCCCCAGGACTCAGATGGCCACGTTTAAGCTCCTCAGTCTGGCATTCAATGGCCCTTCTTGGTTCAGTCTCCCAGCCACTTCCTTTTACTATTGGCTCCAGAATGCAGTCTCGCAACCACTGTCCCCTGGCCAGCATGAGGTGCTTTGTGCCCCCTTATGCATGTTCTTCCA